AGAAATGCCCGGCGCCGCAGCGGCCGCGGACCCGAACGCCGAGCGAGCGGCCGGAGACAGCCGAGCGCCGCCGAGTGTCGGGTGCGAAGACAGCCGAGTGTGCGCAGGCGGGGCGGGGCAAGGGGCGAGATGCGGTGGGGGCGGAGCCCTAGCCAGTCCTTGAACCCCGAAGGCTTAGACTGAGGGTCCACACCCAGGAACGAGGATGTGGTACAACGCGGCTCAGGTTGGTGATGCCACCGAAATGTATGTGCAGGGCGGCCGAGCCCAATGCTTACCGGGGACACCAGCCCACCCTGCAGCTGAGAAACCCTCGTGTCTACAGACCCAGTGCAGTGGTGGCCTTCCTAGTTGCCTGGTAGCAATTGGGGCAACCGAGTACCACCCGGGAAGGTTCATTCACGCGGCTGGGGCAGCGGGTGCAAGAGAAAGGAACTGGACGAGAATGTGTCACCAAGTACAAAAGTCCTGTATTTCCACCCTGCCATGAGGGCTTCTGTTCCCTCCTACCACAGTACTGTTCCGGTTTGTGATTCTGGGATTGGGTCGTCTGAGAGCGTTCCTACGCACTTCGTCTCGCCCGCCTAAGCGGTGAGCTGCGGGTGAACTCCCTTGGATGGGCAAGTGTGCCCGTGAGCACCAGTGATGGCAGAACCCCACCCTGACACTGCAGCTAAGGCTTCTGAACCCCAGGCCTGCCTTTGAGAATGGGATGCAGCATTTTTGCACTCGCTCCGGGTCTCCCTTCACTTCGGGGGACTCAAGGCTCTCAGGGGAGACCCTTGCACGTAAGCCAGGACAGCGTTCTGCAGGAAGCTTGCCCTCTGGGCCTCTTCATCCCGGATGCGTGCGATCTCTGCCTCTTTGAGCCGTAGCTTTTCTCGGAGAGAGGCATTCTCACTCTCTCTGTCCAGCAGCGCCTCCCGGTGTTCATTCCCGACCGCTGCAAGCGAGAGGCTCAGTAAGGAGGGGGTGGGTGCCTTGCAGGGTGTCCCACGCTTTGAATCCCAGCAGAGGTAGGCGGGTCTCTGAGTTGGAGGCCAGCGTGATCCACAGAGTGAGTTCCGGGACAGCCGGGGTTACACAGAAACCCTTTCTGGGGGTTGCAGGAAGGAAGGGGTGCATCTCGAGGGGAGACCCCCACCCCATCCAGGGCCAAGCTCAGCTGTCAGGTGGATATGTGATAACCTTTCAGCTGACGTTCCAGGGCTGCCACCTTCTCCCTCAGCGCCTCCTGGGCCACCAGGTCAGCCTGCAGGCGGCCCATCTGCTCCTGCAGCTCCACTCTGACCCTGGTCACCTCAGCCACTTTTTCTTGGTCCTTGTTGCTCAGCTCCTGGGATGGGGTTGGGGAAGGTGAGCCCACAGTCCGGAGATGAGCCTCTAGAGTCTGTGCTCCCTGAGGCCACGCTACCTGTTGCAGTTCTTCCAGGCGCCGCTGCTGCCCCTCCACTTGCAGGTTCAGCTGGCTGGCCCATGCCTGGGACTCAGCTACCATCTGCTTCTGCTGCAGGCAGGTACCCTGAGCCTCGTCCCTTGCCTGTGCCAAGAGCCGAATCTTCTCCTCCAGATGAGCGAGGCGGTGTTGCTGTGGGCAGGGGAATGGCTGCTGCCCATGAAGGGCTCCCAGTCTGAGCTCAAAACCGGAGGGACACACAGTCTGCATGGGGACTAACCTCCACCCCTCTGCCAGGACCGAAGAGAGGACTTCATGGCGTCACACAAGTTATCAGCCACTACCCTTGTCCTGCATCCAGAAGCATCCCTTGCTGGGCATCTCAGGCCAGCGCTATCATCTCTAGCCTTCCTCTTACCGGGCAGTGCAGGAAGCACCACAGTCCTGCTGGCTGCTGGGAACTCTTGAGCTCTAGTCCTGAGGCCCACAGCCCCGATCTTGGCCACTTCAACCAGACTCCTCTGCAAGGTGCTACAACTGGCCCCTCCATACTTGTGGCCGAAGCTCACCTCCTCCAAGCGGGCTTGGTTCCTGGCTTTGATGAGCTCCTCCTCAGCTTGGCCGCGCTCAGTGAGCACTGCTGCCTTCGAGCGGCTCAGCTCCTGCATGGCAGATAGATACCACTAGCCCATCTGGAAAACACGCTGCCCCCTTGATCCAGGGTTCCTTCCAGGCCACTGGGCAACCAGGCTGGGAGAACGTCTCCATCCATAGCCTCAGAACCACACAGCTGTTCCTTGCTCACTGAGCAGGGCTTTTACGGGGATGGGTGGGTCCATAGAGAGACCTAAGGAGGCTGAGACTTAGGGGTGACCCAGGGTCCTGAGACCATGACTGTCACCCTGCACTCAACCCAGGGCTCATGTGGTCTCACCTCTTCTAGGGACAGCCGCAGTGCCTCTAGTCTCTGTATCCTCTCCTGCATGGCCCTCTCGCTCTCCTCCAGGTGACGGGTCATGTGATTCACCTGTCCAAACGAGGGAGGTGAGGGCCAACAAACGCAGGCTCCCCTAGCCCTCACCCATCGCAAAGGCCTGACTTGAGTGTCCTGGCGGGCACCAAGGACAGAGGCTCTGCTCTGGAGGATATCCAGCAAGGAAGCCCACAGCTGCCTGAACTATGGATACTGTTGCCTGCAACTCTAGCATTATCAACTGAAGGTGTTGGGAATGTTGCACCACACAGGGCTGGTCTGCAAGCCCCAAGTAGAGATAGCAGAGCCAGGGGGAATCCATAAGACAGCACCTCCTTCGAGTGCAGCTTTTCCAAGTCTTCCATATTCTGTTTGGCTCTCCGCTTCTCCGCATCCAAGCGCTCTGGAGGCCCAATGGGAAAGGGTGTGACGAGTCTTCCCGGGGGTGGGGGCTTTGTTCCTGGAGCTCCCTGTGCCCTCAGTGCCAAGCCCGTCCGTGCCTACCTTCAGCCTGAATAGCACGGATCTTCAGCTCAGCTGATGTGTTAGTCAGCTCCTGCCTGGTCAGGAACAGCTGCTCCTGTTGAGACTTTACCTTCCGCTCCAGCTCATCCACCTGGGAAGCAGGCAACACTAGAGGAAGCGTCTCCCAGCCCTGCGACACTACCCTAGACTCTTTGGGTGGCTGGCGCTATCCCCCTTTGGCCATACCCTCTCAAACCCACACCCCCTCATACCTGGCTTCTAAGCAGCAGGTTCTTCTCATTGGCGGCAGACAGGTCCCTGAGGAGCTTAGATTCCCGATCTGCAGCTTCCTGAGTGAGAGGGGCAAGGCGACAGACGCTTCCAGCTGGGCTGTTGCCAGGTACTTCCGCCCGCCTACTAGTCCACACAGCCCAGCTCCTACCTGCTGCTCCAGCTTACGCTCCTTCTCCTGTCTCTGCGACTGGCTCTGCCTTTCCTGTTCTGCTGTGGTCAGCAATTCCCCCAGGTCCTGGGCCTTCTGCTCTGACAGCGCCAGCGCAGCCTCTGTCATCTGCAGCCTACAAAGAGGAAGGCCGGCCCCAGTCCAGCTCAGTCAAGAATGTCACCTGCCTGACAGAGGTCTTGTGTTCCCACTTCTACCAAGCCCCCACTCAAACCCCTCCTCTGCCTGTTGGCATGGCTCTAAGTCTTTAAGGTGTCTGAAGGGTCCTCTCCTTACTTGGCTTTAAGGGCATTGATGATAGATTGTCTCTCGTTGAGGGCTTCCTGAAGCTGCCCAATTCGTGCAGCCGATGCCCTATGGACAGAGCCGTGGCACTGGGAAAGCCAAACCCCAGAGCCCCTGGCTTTTCTCCCAGCCTTGGCAGCAGCTCTTGATCTCTGCACAGTTATGTCTATAACATCCCCCAGTGCACCAGGCCAGAGTCAAGCACTCCACAGCTGCCACTAATCGCCAGCCCTCTCGCTTGGATGGGAGCAATGACCTTGTTTTCAGCCTTGTAACAGACAGGGCTCAGGTTAGGCCATGCTCCAGTCAGAAGCCAGGCACTCAGTCGCAGGTACCCCAAGCTCACTCACCTGCTGTTCCTGGCCATCTCATCTCGTTGTTTATCAATCGTCTCCATCAGATCCAGAAACTGGAGGCAAAGTCAGTCAAGACAGCATTAGAAGCAGAGATTACCCCGGTCAGGGACAGAAGTGCAGGCTCCCATCCACAGAGTCAGGCTGCAAGGGACTCAGTTCACTGTCTCTTTCAAAAGAAGGGTGGGCTGACTGACCGAGGGAGGCCTGGAGGCTAGAACTCCCTGCCTGCTCGCTGCTCTGTGGTGAAGTCGGCACACAGGAAGTGGGGCCAGGAGGCCACCTTAGCCCAGGGTTTGCCTTGGCTCAGAGGCCTGGAGCAAAGGAGAGAACAGGAGTGTGAAGGCCCTCTGCTCACCTGCTTGGACTTCTCTTCCTGGAGGTGTTGAACCTCCTTGCTAAGGATGTTGGTGTGGGCTTTGTTTTCCCGAAAGACAGTGAGCCGGTCCTGGTTGTGGTCCATGGCTTGCTCTGTCAGAAAGGGCCACGTTATCCACCGGGTTCAGCATTAGGGGCAATGGCTAAGTCAGTGATGCCCGTGTCACCCTGGAGAAGACAACATCTCCACAACCAATCAGACAGCCCCCTGGGTGATGCAGGACCTTGGGACAGGAGGTCTTTTGTACATAGGGGGAAGACACTGTACTACTCAAAAGATGGGCACTGCCTGGAGCATCTGGCTTCCCCCTCGGAGGTCAAGGGGTATATGACTTTAAGGGACAGGTACTATCTTCTCGCAAGACTGACAGCATTATAAGCCCACTGCATGCCAGCGGTCCCTGAACTTAGGCACTGAGGCAGGGGGATTATGAGGTCAAAGCCAGCCTGGACTACATAGCAAAACTGTCTTTGACACACACGAGAAGATCAAACATAAAACAGTTATAAGGACTATGGCCACGCAGATACAGGGTTGGGAACAAGAAGACACTGGGAAGACAGAGGAGTCACACACGGGCAGCAGGGAACACGGAAAAGTCTAGGACTCACGACTCCAGTCCTGAAAGCTCAGACTTTGGTGGGTGCTACCACGTGGCAAACTACGGAGCCTAAGGCCAAAATATCACCTGTAAGGACTCAGGGTTCCTAGGCAGATGACAGTGAGTTCTGGTGTCCCCACTCACGTCCACTCTACATACAGCACAGACACAAACTCAGGAGAAGCCGGGGGAAGCTACAAGGAAGCCTCCCTAGCTGGGGCTCAGGCCACCTGATGGTTGTCAGAGCAAGGCTTTAAGCCACAGGGCTTTAGCTTCTTGCCTGCGAAACTGGTGCCCCCTGACCACATAGGTTCTAAGATGTGTGAGTGGATGAGCGGAGCCTGGTGTAAGCACCAAGCAAGCTGCCTGTCTTCAGCTGCCTCCCCCTTGACCTAGGCCAGCTTCTCATACCCTGGGCCTCCATGTCATGATCCCTGAGCCACACCCTTCCGTGGTGGATGGGCTTCTGTTTGGGGCTTCATGCCTTGCTCCAGTTTGTAAGAAGCTAGCAGCACTGAGCGTCCGTACCCACAGCTCTCAGGACGTCACCGGGGATGTTGTTCCCAGCCAGGTCCAGCCTCCACAGGGTTCTGTTGCTGGGGAGACAGTTCACCAGGGCCCGGCCCCCCAGGAGACCGATGTTATTCCAGCGCAGGTCTGGAAGGAAACCTGTTGTCACTCGGTTGGATGGGAGGTCCTGGCGAAGCCCAGGATGCTCCCTTTGAGCTTTATTGCCTGTGGCTGCCAACACAGCCCAGGCCAACCTCCCCAGGTCTCACGGGGGTACAGCAGAATTCAGGAGACCTCACCCAGCTGCTGGAGAGTGGTGTTTCCCTTCAGGGCCAAGGCCAGTTCCTCTGCCCCCTTGTGACTGATCTGGTTGTTTCGGAGGTCCAGCTGCCGCAGGGTGCTGTTGGCTGCTAGGCCCCCACAGAAGGCGGCAAAGGCATCGTCCCACATGCCAAGGTTGTTCCACTCTAGGGTGAGACTACGGGAAAGATGGACACAGGTTCTCGGCTCAAATGAACACTTGTCCCACGGGGGTCCAGGGCATATAACAGGTGAGAGTTAGCCGGCTTACTATCCACCCATGGGTGAAGACCAAGTGAGCTGGTTGCAGGATTATATCCTCTGGGGCCAACCCTGAGCCACGCAGAGAGGAAGCGGTGACGTACAGGCGAGGCCTGGATGTGGTCCTACCTCTGAATGGACTTGTTCTGTCGGAGGACCTTTCCCAGAGCCCCGGCTCCCGCAGCTCGGAGGTTGTTGCCCTAGAAAAGGAACACCCTAGACAGTCAGTCTCGCTACCCTGGCTCTGAATGGCACCTCTGTGCTCCACAGACTTAGGCAGTGCAAAAAGCTAGGAGGCAGCTCTGGGCAAAGGCACAGCTGCCAGATCCTAGTTTCTGTGACTATGCAGTATCATAGCACCCAGTGCCTTGGAGTTTGCATGAACACTGTTGAGACCAGGGTATGTAGAACATGCTCAAAGCAACACTCTGCCTTTAAAACACGCCCAACACACGGGGTCCTCAGAGAGAAGTCCTAAGACCTTGGGTATTGGGAGCTCTTACAGACAGTCTCAAGCGGCTGCCAAGACCCCAGGCCCCTGGGTCTGTCTCTGTCCACTGCCCAGGGTGCAGGCCTGCTCACCTTTAGGTCCAGACGCTGCACAGTGGTGTTGGCACACAGCCCTTGGAACAGCAGTGTGGACCCTGCGTAAAGGCAGTTGGAAAAGAGGGCTGCTACCCAGAAACAGAAGAGGGACACCTGTCCTGGTGGTATCCATGCTTTGAGTTCACAGTAGGAATGAGTTTCCCCATTTGTTGTAAGGCCACGTTAGAAACATTTGAGCTTGCCAGGCCAGACCTTTCTTGAGCCAGGATGGGGAATTGAAAGCTGGAGACATTAAGGCTTCGCCATTAAAGTGACATTGACCTCTGCTCCCAGGTTTTAGAAAAAAAAATGCTAAAGTACACAAAGAGAGGGAAAAATAACAAAGGGGCGTGGGGACGGGGTAGGAGAGGGGACTGGCTTCCCTGCTAACAGCTACCCAGGTCAAACACAGCTGGGACACCGGCCTTTAGGCCAGTCTGGAGGCAAAAGGCTTGAACCCCACTCGCAAGTTTCGGGGGCTGTTACGAGGCCACCGGCCTCACCTTCCTCGCTCAGCATGCAGTCGCTGAGGACAAGTTCCTTCAACAGCGACTCGTCATGCAGCAGCTTGCCCAGGGCCCTGCAGGTGTCCACCGTCAGGCTCTGAGTAGCCAGGTCCAGTCGGCCCCGCGGAAGCTGGTGTAGTTGCTGCAGGACAGCCTCCTGGGGCTCAGCCCCACTCTCCTTGCACAAGCGGTTGTAGGAGCGCCGGAACTCCTCCATGTTCCCGAACGCTGGCAGGGCCTTGCAAGCATGCCCCTAAACACAGGCTGCGCGTAAGCTTGCTAGGCCGATGACTGGGAGCCCCTTTCCCTAGAGGGTGTACACAGGGCCGTTGAGCTTAGCTGGCCCTATCAGAGGAGGCCTAGAAATGTGAAATAGAAAGGAGGTCAGGATCGCTTGAGGAAGGGGTTCGATGATAGGGAGAGCCGGAGCGCAGAGCACTGGCCTAGAAGAGCAGGTAGGCGCGTTGCACATACCCTGATCTGGCCCTGCGGCCCCTAGCCCGCCCTCGCGACGTGGCCTCGGGTTGCTGATGCTGTGCTCTGGACGCGGTCCCGCGCGCCTCAGTATCCAGGAAGAGCGTGGGGCTCCGGGAAGGAGGTGGAAACTACAACTCCCATGATGCATTGCGGAAGAGGTGTTCTCGGTAGACCAATGAGAGCGAAGGGCGGGCCTGTTCTGGGTCTCCAGTCACGGGAGCCGAAGCAGAGCGCTCCGACTCATTGGTTGGGAACTCAGAGAAGAGGGGGGACCCTTAGGTGATTGGCTGCTGGGCTTGGAGGCGGCGGGACTTCACGGACGCGCTCCACGTTCATTGGTTGGGATGTGGGAGGGTTCCGGAGAGCGCGCACTGAGACTGTGGCCATGGAGGAAATGAGCGGCTTCTCGAAGGTGAGGCCCACGGGAGTGGTGCGAGGTTAGCTTTGGGCGCTGCGGATCGCCGCGTGACACTGTGCAAACTCGAAGTCAGCCTTAGCGCTGTGTTCCCTTGCCCTTGGTGGGGGTCGGGACCCCCGGGGCGCGCTCTGCGGCTGGACCGAGCTGGACCGTAGATCCAGGCTGGTGACAAGGGGTCTTCCTCGGAGGGGCCACAGAACCTTTTCAGCCCCGGCCGATGCGGGTGCGTGGGCCGGCGTCATTTCTCAGTGACAAGCAGATGTTCAAGGTGCGAGGTGTTCCGTCCCATGAGTGCTGCGGCCAGGGGTCGGCTCTTTGTTCAGGCCGGTGCACGCCCTGTGCGGACTTCCTGGCTTCCACGCTCCGCTCAGTACTTGCAGAGTTTTGGAGGCTTTGGCCAGAATCGGGGTTATGGGCATTCATTGGACTACGCTAAGTGGGCTGTCCTAGGAAAGAGTGACAGGAAGAGAGGGATCTGTATCCCTGACTGTGGCCTTCTGGACCACTAACGAGCTTGTGTGCCACGGGATTTCCCCTAATCCTACCCTCCTGCAGTTACATCCACTCGTTCATTGACTGGCCCGCGGAGCTAAGTCCGTCCAGTCCTGTGCTGACATTCCGTAGAGCCTTCTCTGGTACCTCGCTGGTAGCGTGCAGGGGACCAGTAGGTGGCGCTGCTCTCACGTGATTGCTCATGGTCCCTCCTGACCAGTTCACCTGTGCCTCAGACTCTAATGTCCATTCCCACCTGTGCCCCTCTGCAGCAAATGGGTATCGTGGCCTCCACCGGACTGATGCTCGTGAATCCAAATTCACCTTTCTCTGTAGGTCATCCACTTGTAGGCTCCTGGGTAGGCGTCTTCCGCTGCCAGCCACCTCCCATTCTGCTCTTCACTAGATAAACTTGAGCGGTCTGATGGCTTCACAAACTGCAGATTCTCAGGGGCTCTTCTTCATGTCTCACTTTGGGTGTCCCCACTGAATTTCGAGACAGTGTCTCTCTGTGTAACAGCTCTGGTTATCCTGGAACTCGCTCTGTGGACCAGGCTGGCCTCGAAGTCACAGAGATCTGCATGCTTCTGCCTCCTGAGTGCTGGGATTAAAGGCGTGCACCACCACCGCCCGGTTCCCACTGAATTCTTAAGCCTCTGGATTCTCACCCTCATTGCACACATTACCACCTACCTTTCAGGGTCTCAAACCATCGCTGAGGCTTGGCCTACCTTCGGCCACCACTGCTAATACTCACATTGCACCATTACAGCTAGGCCTCTCCAGATCTGTAGACATTAGCTTGATACAGGAAATAACCAGACTAGCTAAAGGATAAAACAGTTATATTTTTATTTATTATAAGGGGAAAACTCACGAAACAGGAACGGGAAGTACAAGCTCAGCTGTGTCGCAGGAGTACCACACAGAGAGAGCACCGGGTTGGTGCCCTAGTTTTCCTCTTGGCCTCCAGGAAGCCACGCCTTAACTAGGTTCCACCTCTTAAAGATGATTGGTTAACAAAGCTTCCCCCATCACAGGCCTAGTCTCCAAGTGTCTTCATTTACAACTAGAAATGACTTCCAACTTCTTGCCAACTTTCTTAAGCTTAAGTGTTCTTGGATATCTGTCCAGTCACCCACCCCTCTAGCCACAGCCCGGCTCTGACGTGCTAAGCGTGGTGTGTGTGTGTCTCTGTGTCTGTGCAGGGGTAATCCAAGCTAGGTCGTGTTGATAGACTGCCAAAGGGTCAGCATTCCTCAACGCTGCCAGGGCCCACTTTAGGAGCATGTGCCTCCACCCCCTGGGCCTGATGGAGGATTACCTCCCAGCAGTGAAGGTGCAGCTTTGTCCCTCAGCTCCTAGGAATGGCAATGATGTTACCAGACTTTCCCCATCTCTTGTGCTCCCGTCCCTATAGGCAAGTCTCTCAAGCTCTTGATAGCCCCTATGAGAGCCTCCCCTCAAAGCACAGCCGGCCTCATCCCCTCAACCTGGGAAGAGGCCCAAGGATGACAGTGTTCTAGCTGGAAGTTACAACCATGCTCCACCCAGAGCTGGTACTTGGGGGACCTGTTGGAAATGGCACTGACTCCCGCCCTTCTTCCAGGAGCTGGTGAGCAAAGTACTGCACCTGCACTTCAGGGACTGCAAGACAAAAGGTTTGGGGCGCCAGTGGGGTGGGGAGGAATGTGGGGCACAGGGAGGAGAGGAAGGCTGTCTGCCCCACAACCTGCCCTTTCCCTGCAGTCAGTGGGGACGCACTGCAGCTCATGGCGGAGTTCCTGAAGATCTTCGTGGTAGGTGAGCCACTTCAGTACACTCAGCTACGGCCAACCCTCAGTCCTGTCCCTCACACTTACTAATGAGCCACCTAGGCCTCCTCTGAGGCCTGACAAGGGCTCCCCCAGCTCACCTCAGTGTCTCTCCAGAAGCAGCTGTCCGTGGGGTGCAGCAGGCCCAGGCAGAGGACCTAGACATCGTGGATGTGGACCAGCTGGAGAAGGTGCTCCCTCAGCTGCTCCTGGACTTCTAGAGGTTGGCCTGTGGCCTGCAGAGTCTAGAACGAAGTCCCATCAGCGTCGATACCTCATTCCCCAGTTCTCCAGCTTCCAGAGCACGGGAGGACACCAGGGGCTGTTACCCTCCCTAGCTATCGCCTCTGGGGATCCTTGTGAGACAGGTGCAGGGAAGGTGGGTCGCCTGCCCACACCACCCACCCCCACCATCCCCATTCATTATAAACAAAAGAGCGGCTGGCAGTGCCGCCTTCTTGCCCCCCTCCATCAGAGCTGCTGTGTGGCTTTTAACCTGACCCCCCCACCCCCAGGATGCCTCCCTGAGCTGTAAATTTGTTCTTACAAAGCAACATCAATAAATCAACACCATCTCTCCAAGGCTTGGCCTTCTTGTTGCCATTAATCACCCAGTCTAGTTGCTTCAAAGCCTGAGCCCCACGCTCCCTTCCATCCGTCTCAGTGGGACAAATGCAGACCACTCAGAAAGGACAGGATGACAAACAGCATGTGTGCACATGCTGCCGTAAAACCAGAGCCTACACACGTGGCTGGCTCGCCCCTGCCACAGCCACGGCAGCTGCCACTAGTAGGCAGTGCAGTCCAAGAATGTCTCTGTGAACCAGTAAACAGTTCACCCGTTCACAGGGGGCAGCAGAACCAGGATATACAGGGTGAGTGGATCAGGAGATCTGCTGCCTGGGCCTGCTGTGGCCATGCTCTCCTTTAGCCCTGCCCAACTGCAATCTAGGTATAGGTAAGGGATAGGCCGCACCCTCAGAGAGGTGGAGCTGAGAGGCTGACTTGGAAGCCCAATCCAGGCTTGAGCCCTCTGATCCGGCCCTGGCAGGCCCAGAGGTCAGAGCCAGTGGTAGAACGGTGGTATCCGTGAGAGGTGAGGCGGGAGGACTGGTAGGAAAGGCATATATACCAAGGGACAATGACTATTCTCCAAGGGCCTAGATAGACTTGAGGGCAACCTCTGAAAGTCGTGGTCAGACTGGATTTAGCCGGGTGGATAGAGCTGCTCTAAATGCCTGCACCCCCCACATGCCCATGTCCTCACAGAGTAGGCTCCTGGCAGGCTGGTGGACACAGAGCTCCTACCAGCTTACGTGCTGGAACTGGACTTGCAGTCCCACTGAAGGCATACAGAAAGGGCTACCAGAATACCTCAGGCCAAGCACAGCCAAAGGTAGCTTTGTGGTTAAGTGCCTGCTTCCTCTATGGCTGTATGCCAGAAGCTTGGAATGGCCCCAGGTTGTAGATAATTTGCCAAGGAGGCTTCCTCCTACGCTTCAGTCCATTCAGTAAAGGAGCTAATGAGGTCAGATATAAATGAAGAGGAAGCTGGCCTACTCAGGATTCTGGCCTTCTCAAGTCCTTCAGAGATACCTCAGCTTTTTAAAATAGAAACACCCTGTGGTCCAGCCAAATTCCCAGGGGTCCTCTGGGTAGCAGTGAATGAGACTGAGCTGGATGGAGGCCTGAGGGCCCTTTCTGCAGAAAAGAAAATCGGAGGGCCTTGAGAGAAGCGCGAGTCTTTATTCCTGCTCGGGGTGGGTGGGGTGGGGTCTTGTGGCTGATGATGGACCTCTCTGGGCTGGTAGCTCTCACCTCTTGCCGGCTGTGATACAAACACCAGAGTGAGCACTCGCTCCTGAGCTGCTGCCCAGCCACCCTGCCCTACCCAGTCAGTACAGGACAGGCAGGCACCTGGCAGCTTCAGCCACTTGGGCACTTTGCCTAGGCTTCTCCTCACAGGCTGAGCTGCCCCTTGAATGGGCTCTGGGGGCTCCAATGCCCCCTCCTCAGCGATTGGTTCGGACTCCAGGGACACAGGGTCAGGGGCTGGCAGCAGAGGTGGGGACCCGGTGGCCCGGGACATACACCTAGGGGTGAGAGGCCAAGGGTAGGTGGTGGGCACAGCCTTGGTGGGGCTCCCAACCCCTCAGGAGCTTACCTGGCCACCAGCACGTCAGCCGCAGATGGGGAGACGGTGTGCTCCAACAGTCCAGGTTCCAGATAGAGACCTTCAAGGTCAGAGCCCACCTCAGTCATGGTGAGACCTGCACTTCCACCCACGCACTACAGTGGGGTGTGGCTAGGCTGGTGCCCCAGGGAGGTGGGTACTAGGCTGCAGATGCCCAAGCCCACAAGGACTTCAGAGTGAATGCTTTCTAAGGAATCTTGATTTGGACACCAGGGAAGCTGGGATTCTGGGTGAGCCCTGTTGGCAGGGGTCAGAGGTGAAGCCTCACTCACCTGTTGGTTCTTCAGCTCCAAAATGCACAAGGGCAGCAGGGAAGAGGTTTGCCTAAGGAAGTCAGGGAGCAGGGAGGTCTCAGAGGGCCAGACAATCTGTGAGCAGGCTCAGGTCTCCCAAAGACAATCCCATCCATTTCTCTAGCACTCTACCCTTGTGGACCACTTTTCACTAGTGTGACTGTGGTTCCTCCATGTTCCACTGCCCAGCTGCAGTACCAGATCTTCTATGTCACTCTGGAAGCCCACGGCGCACTGAGCTTATGACTCAGATACACCTTGGCAAGGTGGTCAGAGGAGACAGAGCTGTTGAGTGCAGGTCTGCTCCACCAGCCTGACACCAAAGTAGGAAAGACCTGCCCCACGACATACAACTCACCCCACTTATGTCCCCCAAAATAAGAGTGGGGGGCTATGGATTGGAGCATCTCTATAGTTAGGAATGTACCCAGAGGCACTGGGAGACAGGAGTGCCCTAGGGAACAGGTCCAGGCATGAGGCAAGGGCTGGCTCCCCAAATCAAGCTGCTTTAGAGAAGCCATGAGCTGAGAGATGCTTCCTTGTGAGGGACACTGGCCCAGGCAGGGTTGTCACCACGGGACTAAGCAGGAAGCTGGAGCCCGGACCAGCACAAGCTCCTCCTATTCCTCCCAAACAAGGATAGCTAGTGCTTTGAAAATGCAACTGAATGCCTGGGATCAAAGCCTTCTAACCCACATCTACCAAAGGGGTAGAGGATATGGCGTTTCTGACCAGAGACTGGCCCTGCCTTCTGGAGCACAGGTGTGGCATGGGAGTGAGAAGTGGATAGGGTTGCTTCCGTTGACACCCTTGGACACGAGGCTCTGAGCCCTCCTTAACAGGGTATGTGACAGCACAGCACAGAGCTGTAGAGGCCCAAGAGGCCCTAGTATCACACCAGAATGTTTTCCTCTTTTTCAGTCTCCATGCCTTGGAGGGGGGAGCTGGAGGGGGGCGCGGCTGGGGCTGGCTGACGTGGCCAAAGACTCAGGGCAGCCAGGAGCCTGGCAGGACCTGGGAAGGGGCTGCAGCTGCAGGCTGAGGGCATTCTTTCCATGCGGCTTCAGGCTCCTGTGAGTGCCACAGGCTGGAGGGGTGGGCGGGGTGGGTGGGGTTGGGGGGGATGTTAAAAGATTAATAAGAGCAAGCTTCAAAGGCCAGGCCTAGGAACGCTGAAACCTCAGCCTCCAGCCGGCAGCAGAGGGACACAAACAAGGGCGGTGAAGGCTTTGAAACGCAATTGTGAGGTCTGCGATCAAAGCCTCTTGAGAGGAGGCCTGTGGGGTGGGCGGGGGGCTGCCCTAGTGCCCCTGGACAGGCGCCAGAAGGAAGCCAGGGATCCAAGCAGGGGGCATGGGGAGGACAGTGCTGGGGCCTTCCTCAGCCCAGAATGGCTAGCTCGTCTCCAGGGCCACCTTCTGTTCTCGCTGCCAACAACTGAGCAGGGTTCACAGGCCCGCTCTGGCCTCGCTCTTTCTAGCACTCTGGGAGCCTGGCTGGCACATCCACGAGATCTCATCTGCCCTCTGGCACCACCAGTCAAGGGGGCTCCCTTGGAAGTAACTGAGGAGGCAGCTGCCATGCGGCAGCTCCAAGACTGGACCCTTACCCGGAAATGCTTAGGAAGTTCAAAGAGGGCCAGGCAGAACCCAGAACAGCGAGAAGGGAAAGGCCAGCTGTGGGCTCTGGCCCTACCCAGCCCCAGATGAGGGAAAAGTGAGGGCAGTGGACTTGCTGACATCATGGCTAACCAGTTTTCAGGAGGCTGGGCCTTCATATGAACCCCATTGTACCTCCCCCTGCAGTTGGTCCCCTGTGACAGTGTGGGAGTTTCTGTCCTCTTCAGGACCACAGGAACAGCCATCACTTTGGTTTATAACCAAAAGCAAGGCTGCTATCTTCCTCTTCTTCCAGGACCAAACAATCCTGTGCAAGGGCAAGGCTACCATCCCTTCAGGATTTTGCATTCTCAAGCTGCCTGGCTACACACGAGCCATTGCCAGAATCAAGCTTGTTCAAGGGAGGGAACAGTGAGACAGTCTGTTGGTAAGGTCTCCTTCAAGAGTGGCCTATATTCCAATGACAGGAAACAGGGAAATCCCTGGCTGGGGTCTCAGCAGACTCAGCTGGAGGCCTGAGGAGTCCTCTGGGCACTGTTTGGCTCTGTCAACAGCAGAGTCCAGGGCCTGCCTCACTGCTCCTCTCCCTCTCCCTGAACTTGAAGACAGGATGCCCTCCAGCCTGGGGCAGGAATTGAGGAGAGCATGGGGAGAGAGTTCTCTCCCACAAGGGGGCCCTCTAGGCCCCTAGGACCAGCTCCTGGGTGAACTCATCCTCTCTGTCACCCTTCAGTGCCTGCCCAAAACTAAAAGCCTTGCCCATTTGATTGGGTTTCTGGGGTTCCAATTGAACAAGGGACAAGTGGACAGAAGATCATCCCAACCAACAAATGGGATTTCACCCTCTGCTCACTCTGCCCCACACTGGAATTTAACACTGGCCAGGACCCCAGGCTTTGACCCATTCTCTCCACCCCCAGCACAGACACACACAGAGAAGCTACAATCCTCCCCCTAGATTCCCAGGACTACTTAGAGCTCAGGGGAGGGATGGGGGTGGCAAATGACCAGCAGGTCCCAGAATACACCAGAGGGAAAGAAAGGCAAGACCTCTCCAAGCTACAGAAAGTATAGCAGGCTATGTGGGGCTGGGCGCAGGGTCTCTAGGCTTTTCCTGCTTTGCCTGGTTTCCTTCCCTGTGGCATCATCAAAACCCCACAAAGCCTTGAACAAGGAGGACAGAGGCAAAGCAGGGAGGCCAGGGCGCAGGCCCAGCAAGTTTACAGGGCAAACGGGGCTCTGCTCCCACCTTTCTGTGGTCTCAGTCCTCCCTGCCCTGTGGCTGCAGACAGAGCTGACAGAAGATTGGGGGGGGGGGCTGCTAGTAGCGGGGCAGTGTCACCAGGAATCAGGCAGGGGCGAGTGAGAGGCATCCTGGACATCCTGGAGCTCTGGAGCTCTGGGGGGTGCGTGTAAATCCTGACTGGGGGAGGGGGCTGGGCACTGGCCCTCAATCCTAAAGCGTCTTCCAGATTCAATGTTTATCAACAGGCTGGCCAGGGAGGTTGGGAGGGGCAGAGATGAAGGAAGAGGGCCGGCGCCTGGAGGTTCATAAGCCAAGAAGGGAATCACAGGGTCACAGGCCCACTCTGGGTACCTCCCTACTTTCCGCTACTCCAAAGCCATGTGGCTCCACTTCTTCCCTCAACAGCCCTTGGTGAACTCCCAGCAGGCTGGCCGGCTTGCTCCCAGCCCCATTTCACCCCAAGGGTGGCAGCTCTAGGCAGCCAATGGAGTCTGTCACCCCCAACCCAGACCTTTGTAGAGGCCTTCAGGCGCCTCTGTTGTTAATTAAAATATCTGAAGACTTTGAAAAGAAAACCATTAGGCCAGAAGGGCTAGGGAGGCCCCAGCTGCTCTTCCAGGGGCGAAGGACAAGGCATTCATCCCTCCTGGCTCTGTGGGGCACAAGGTCAAGTAGCCTCTCTGCCTCGGAGCTCTCTGGACCTCCAGAGGCCCCAAGGAAAAGCCTGGAGCCAGCCATGGTATTCCTACCAGAGATCAGCAGGGGTCCTGGGGGGGAAAAGGTTGAACCCAGGAGGTGGTGGCAGAGATAAGGGCCAACAGCAGCCAGGGACCCCAGCCCTCCTCTCTGTACCACTCCAGGACCAAGCGGCCAAGCCCCTTCCTCACTCAGATGCTAGGAGGCGGGTGTCATGCAGCAGCCAGAGGCCAGGACCTCTAGGCGGCCCCAGCTGAGGACAGCAGGGCAGCGAGCTGGGCAGGCCCATCCCCACCCTGGGGCCAGGCAGGAAGCGGAGGAGGTTGGAAAGCCCTGTCAGAAACAACTTCAGAGGCTCACTGCTCCCTCTGAATTTACCGGCTCTAAAAGGCTTTATTACCCACCCACAGGGCCTGCCAGGGCGCTCCTTCCCAACCCAACCGCAGCATGGCGCCCTGCCCTCCCAGCACAGCCAGCCCCAGCAGCACCCTTGTGAAGCAGTTGTACCTGAAAGAGAGTCAGCGTGTGGTCATCCAGGACCATTTTGGGAGGAGCAATGACTGTGGAGAGAGGTGCTGTCTTTGAGGACACTGGCCCACACCTCAGGGCCATCCCCCCACCTCTGCTGTTCAAGGGGTCCTCACCACCCTGGTGGCCGCTATGCTCCTGGATCCACTATCTCCCTTGCAGCCTGAGCCACAGGGTGGGACTGGGAAAGAGGCCAAGCTGGGGAGCTGGGCACTGACACTCCCTCCAAGGGACCACAGGGCTGGGTAGCCAGACAAGTCCCAGCCCAGAGAGGAGGTCACACCTTGCAGACTAAAAAGAGTGCCAGATGGAGCAGAGGCAGGATAAGGGGCAGAGACTCACACAGGTAAAAGGAGAGCTCGGGATTCCCCAGGTGGCTCCTGACAAAGTCTCGCAGGTCCCCTACTGTGGAGAAAGGGGAGCATCAGCAGACTTCCAAAACTCACTGCCAAGGTCCTGCTGGAAACCTAGAGACATCAGCCCCAGGGCTATCCCTGGCAATACGGACCCAGTACCCCCCTAGATGTAGGGATTCAATGACGCACTCCCCAGCCTTCCTAGACGGTCAGTCTGGATGGAGACTACAGCACAGACTGCTTCCAGGATCCATATCCTGAGGCAAGAGTGGCCGCCTACTGACAGCCATGCTGAGCTAAGCCCACAGCATCCCCAGTGCCTCTCAAGCACTCAACTCCTCCAGCTGAGCACTTCCAGGGCTCAGGCCTAGAACTACTCCATCCTCCCTGCTGTAACTCAGACCATCGGCTCTGGTGGCTTTGACGCCTTCTTCTGAGAGAATTCCTACCTATTCACGTCCAAAACACTCAGGGTCATGAGCTCTGGGGACAGGACCAAGGACTGTGAAGAACCAACCAAGTCCTGACCTGGGTCAGGATGGCCATTTGAGTGGACGAGGATGGCAGCCTGCAACTACCCAGCGGGCACAGCGACCCTCCACAGGCCACTGCGGGTACTCACTTGTCTCACTAGGGCGGAAAAAGCCCTGCAGAATGTAGCGATCGGGGAACAGGACCCTCAGTGCTACCTGTGTAGTCAGAAGGAATCGTCAGAGCTTCACCCAGCACAGGGAGGGGTCTCATCGCTCGGTTCCCACTATAAGAACTGTCAGCTACCCCAGGCCTGGTTTTCCCCGTGATTCTCAATACATCTGAGCTACAAGGAAAAGAACCAAGTACCCAAATGTATGGGCATATGCATTCTAAAAGCTCACAAGCTCGGCATGGTGGCACACTCAGGAATTCAAGGTCACTGCTGCCTATAAAGTAAATTTGAAGCCAGCCTGGACTATATGAGCCCCTGTCTAAAAGAATGAACGGATGAATGGACAAATGAACACATTAATATAGCACAACCTGCGTACACTTTCAAATCTGCTCTACTGGCTGGGTGCAGTGGTGGATACTTGGAATCTCAATGTTTGGGAGGCAGAGGCAGAACAGTTCTAGGCCCACCAAACAACAACAACAGAAACGAAGATTTTTCATCATGAAGTTAGGGGACTGTCAGTGATAGGGCACTTGCCTAGCATGTACAAGGCCAAGTTCAATTTTCAGCACTACAAAGAAAAAAAACCAAAAGTTTTTCATCCTAGTGTGTTGCGAGATTAGCTGGCTAATCCTGAGCCTCAGGTCACAGGCCTCTCATGATACCTACTCAACCAGGGAACACTTGTCCCATGTGGTGGTGCCCTGTGGGCATGTCATAGTCACTTTCTGGGGTGTGTCCTCCCCACAGGAACTTAAGGAAGTCCTTGCTTACCTTTGGGTAGCGTTCCAGTTTTTCTTTCATCTGAGCCTCCCTGAAGGCCTTGGTCACTAAGGGAGCTTCTTCCAGGCGCTTCCTGTGGTGAAGAGGGCCAGGTCCTAGTCTCTAAACAGAAAAGCTCCTCACCCTTGCTCTGCAAGGTTTTTTTTTGTTTTGTTTTGTTTTGTTTTGTTTTTTGTTTTTCGAAACAGACAGGGTTTCTCTGTAGCTTTGGAGCCTGTCCTGGAACTAGCTCTTGTAGACCAGGCTGGCCTCAAACTCACAGAGATCCACCTGCCTCTGCCACCCAAGTGCTGGGATTAAAGGCTTGCGCCACCACCGCCCAGCTAGCTCTGCAAGGTCTTAATAAGGGTTATTCTCCCCTAAGAGGGTAGGAAGGGACCAGAATGAAGGTCACCACGGAGAAAAGCCATGGGAGATGACTACAGGGCCAGGGGCACCCACCGCTCACTCTTGAGCTGGGCCAGGCGTCTCCTCACATCATCCACGGTCACTTCAAAGAACTCATCAGGCACCTCTGCTGGCCAGGGCTGCAGCAAGTCCTCTAGGTCAGGGTGGCATACTACAGGATCTCGGTCAACGGGCTGTGAACAGAGAGACTCAGCTGTATGTCCCAGCTCACCACCTCACAGTCGGTGTGTGACACTGGGTCGGGCAGGGCTTGGGAGAGCAGAATAGAAGCCCCGATATCAGCCCTGGGTGGGCATCAGTGCTGTCCCTGGGAACTTCAGGGCAGCACAGGAAATGTCCTAACAGACTTCTTGCCTCGATGGAAGAACCTCAAGATCAGGATGCCAACTTGGGGAGGTGCACCCCAGTTGGAGGCCACGTCAGGGGTTCCAGAAAGGAGGAACAGTAGAAGCCACCAAATTAGAGTGTTGGCAAAAACTCCAGCCAACTGCCCCTACTGCCCTCTCTCGGCCGCAGCCCCAAAGCCAGGCTGACTCCACCTCTCCCTTGGGGAGCAAGCTGGCCCTCCCTCTGCCCACCCAGGGACAGAGGAAGGGACAGCGTCACCCCTAATTGGCATCAATGGCAATGCAAATTACAAGGCAGGCCCAGTCCATTGCGGTGCCCAGGAGGGTGGGTTCCCTCCTCTGTGCCGGAGCCACCCCATGGAGCCAGGCCTGACCAAGGTGCCCAGGAGGGTGGGCACCTCCTCTGTGCCAGAGCCACCCCACGGAGCCAGGCCTAACCAAGGTGCCCAGCTGCGCTAGCAGAACCCATAGCTGTGACATCTAAGCCAGACAGACCCTGAGATGCTGACGACCTAGGGACAGGTTGTCTGACTCTTACCCTCCAGCAGCCTTTTACACAGCACAGCCAAGCCACAATGTCATCATTCTAAAGATGGCTTCAGGGCCAGGGAGGTTGACCCTGCCCATGACCAAGGTACTACCTCAATACATCCACACTGAGTGAATTCTGATGTATACCTGTCCCAGATGTCTCCTGGGAAGTCCTCCAGTAGCTACTGTCCATGGACATCACATCTCTATAATCTATCAAGTTTTGCCACATTGCACTAGTTATGAAGCTCACTGACCTCGAGCTACATGACTAAGAAAGGTTGGCTGAGGCCTGGGCAGGGGCCCACAGGTGGCTAACCAGGGGGCTGTTCCTTCAAAGCCACAGCCACGCAGTAGCCACTGTGGGCAGTCTGCTCCAGAGATCTTTCTAACACGATGTCAGGCGCCAGGCTGACCCCATGGCCACAGTGCTTGCATTCCAGCAGGGCCACGAGCAAGCTTGTCCAGGCTCCATGAGGAGGGCAGAGCATAGACACATCCTGAGCTATGTGCAACAGTGTCCATGGACAGCCAGTCCAGGCTGAGTGGTAGCAACCTGGGACCCAAAGGCAAATGTAGCCTTGGGCACTCATGCTCCAAGACTGGAGGAGCTTAGAGACGCTTTCTCGCTGCCAATCCCGGACGCTCCTAGGTGCAGTCTAGGGCATCAGGGAGGACAATGGATGACTAGCTACTTCCAAGGATGGGACCACACTGCCCAGGGCTGCTGAATTCAATCAGAAAAACAGAACTGGCATCCTTCACCGCTTTGGACCCTCCTGACTCCTGCTCTGCTCAGGAGCACTGTCTACCACAAAGCACCAGGAGCCCAGTGACCAGAGGACAGGACAGACACAGAGCCCACTCAGGACAGCTCTGCTACAACTCAAGAGCTAAGGTGAAGAGTCCACTGGCACCTGCTGGCAAGGATTATGCCAAGTAAGCAGCTACAGAAGGCTCTAAGCCTCTAGAATCTCCCATGGCACCTCACAGGGTCTGCGACTGGGCTGACAGGAAGCATCACACTGTCACCAGTGACATCAGGGGCAGCCAGGGAGCACAGAATGGGGAAACTCCATCAGCCCCACAGTCGTCCCAAGGCAAGCTCACCCCAGAGCCACTGGGCAGGGAGGGCTGCAGCAGGGCAGTCGCCAGCAGAGCCACACAGCTGTCTCCCCAGCCAAGCTTGGCCCCGGTCACTTGGGATGCTCTGTCAGTGCCCGGCTCCCAGCGGCCATCCTGCCAACACTGGCAGTTTTACATTCCATTCCCCTCAGAGGTGTACTTATGAAGATGCTTCTGACACCAGGAGAAAGGATGTAAAGGACAGTCGTGCCCGACAAGGCCCGTGGGACACCCTGAGAGCATCACTGAGGCCTGTCTTGACATTTCTCCGGCTAAAATGGTGCTGAAATCCCAGATAATGTCTTGGAACCCCAGACAGTGTGTTGGGGGAGAATACAAAAGGCTGTGTTCCATTGGACTGGGGCTTGGAGAGGGCTGGGGGAAGCTAAAGGGCTCCTGATAATCATGAGAAGCTTGGGCAGGAGGTTCCCAAGGCCAAGCCAGTCACACAGTCTACTGAGGGAATAGGGAGCTCAACATGAAGGGCCTGCCAAAGAGCCTCTCCCCAGGAGGCCCATGCATGCTGGGCCCAAGTCCTCAGAATAAGCCAGCATGATCAGGGCATATTATGGCTGCTACGTAACTAGTAAAGAAACTCAGGCACAGAGTGCCTGAGGAAGAGTTGGCTTGGGAGTACAGACATAGAGGGCAAATGGCCTCCCTGTTGTCTGTGAGACCGTGATGGATGGACATCAGGATATAAGACCCATTGCTAAAGTCCGTACAGGACAGAGGCGTTGATTCCAGGGAACCCAGGAAGACAACAGTCTTGCACACTGGGCAGGAAACAGAGGAGCTGAGCGGGGCAGAAAGCAGCCGTCTCCCACAGCCATACATACCCCAGACTCCAAACAGCCAGGACACAGGAGGCGCACAGGTGGGTACCTGCTGTGACAGTGTCCAGGCTGAGGCCACCGCAGGGTCAGTGGGAAGTCAGGAGTAAAGGACCAGGCCAAGCAGAGAGTCTTTGGGAGGAGGGCTCAACATAGCCTGGCCTGGCCAGTCACGGTAGGGTCTGGTGGCCACCGGGTACCCTACTACTGTCAGAAACGGGCTGGCTGAAGTATCCTCTTTTGACAGTGATTTTCCAGGACATGATGACAGATTAAAAAAAAAAAAAAATGTGAACACTATTTAGAGATGACCTCAATCTCAGATTTTCCAGATTCCCTATGAACAGCGGCCGCCTGCCCCCTTGGCTTGCTCTTCCTCAGCCCAGCCGGCGCTGACAATGGCTTTGGTGAGCGAGAATGTGAAGCGTTTCCCCTTGAGGCTTTGAGCCTAAATGAATCACTACAACAGGGACGCAGGCCAGACCTCTGCGTTACTCACAGGGCTCAGCCACCCTCGGGAGGGAGGCGCCTGAGCACATGGACACCATCAAAGGTCCTGGACGGCACAGCAGGAGGCAGCTGTGCCAGAGTGAGAGGCCAGACCAACATAGCTTGGGATGACACAGATGAATGCGGCTCTTCTCCAAGATGCCAAGACACCTATGGGCCGCTCCACCCCGTGATACTGACAGCTTAGCTTCTCTACTGTGGAGGTGAATTACTCCCATCTCTAAGAAATGACCAAAGCCTTTTTAAAAGAAGAGAGCATAGTCAGTAATGGTGGCGCATGCCTTTGATCTCAGCACTCAGGAAGCATAGGCACAAATCTCTTGAGTTCAAGGCCAGCCTGGTCTATAGAGCCCAGGACAGCCAGAGTTAATACAGAGAAACCCTGTAATGAAAAAGCCATAATAAATAATAACAATGGTCAGGATGATGATGATAATGATGAGGATGAGGATGATGATAATAATGATGGTGATGATGATAATGATGAGGATGAGGATGATGATAATAATGATGATGGTGATGATGATAAGGAGGAAGAGGAAGATGGCGAGAGAACAGCTGCAAAATGTCAGCTACAACACAGGAACCTGAGCATTTGGAGCATCTATCACTTCCCGAAAAGTAATGGCTAGGTCAGTGAAGCTAGTGCACGGTGTGGCCCAGGCTGGCAGCTGCTCCTGGGATCCAGTGTGGTGGCACACATCTTTAATCTCAGTAATCAGGAGGCAGAGGCAGAAGGACCTCTATGAGTTCAAGGCAAGCCTGGTCTACATAGTGAGTCCCAGGCCAGTCAAGGCTCCATAGTAAAACCCAGTCTAGAAAAAAAACAAACAACAATAACAAGAGCTAAACTTCCAAGACAGGCTTGAACACTGGAGCATGCACATAAGACAGACTGGGAGACCAGCTTAGATGGAACAAGTGGAGTCCTTGCTCTTCTGGACTATTCCCGACCTGACGTGCCCAGTGAGCAGTAGCCCTGGAGATGGAACTCGGAGGGATCCTTGCCAGTTAAGATCATGTACTGCTCTTGCAGGAAACCAAAGTTTAGTCCCCAGAACTCACACCGGATGGCTCATAACTACCTGGAACTCCAGCTCCAGGGATCTAACACCCTCTTCTGGCATATGTGGGCACTGCACACATGTATACATACCCACACAGAGACATGCACATATATACATTATTGAAGATAAAAATAAACTGGGCATGGTGGAACATGCCTTTAGTTCCAGCACTCAGGAAGGAGATAGAGGCAAGTAGATCTCTGTGAATTTGAGACTAGCTTGGTCTACGTAGTAAGTTCCAGGCTAGCCAAGTCTACATAATAAGACCTTAGTTCCTAAATAAATACAAATAAAAATCTTTAAAACAAAGCAAACAAGCAAAGACCCAGACACTCAGCTGGCCACTGCAAAGTCTCTGAACCATCTGCCAGCAAACCTCAGTGGTCTTTCCAATTAAGGCATGGCCTGCAGCTCTCAAAAGAACTGAGGTTAGCCCTCATAGCCTGAGGGTTATTCATAAATACTCAAGCACAGCAGGGCCCATGGCCAGTCTATGGAGATGACAGAAACAGGAGCTCCTAAGGCAGATAATAGCAACACAAGAGTCCCCATCCCTGGGCACAGACTCCAGCCATCCAGACACCTGCCACTCTGCCCTGCCCTGTTCAACATTCATGGGTCCAGATGGGTGTTCTCACTGAGTTTGGTACAACAACTCACTTTATACTTCCCAGACCCCCTTACAGAGTTCTTCCAGCCCCATTAGTACTAACTAGTCACCAGCCCAGGGTGCAGAGGGTGAAGGCCAGACTGTGTGAGC